GATCCTGTTACTGTTTTATCTTTATGTGGTTAGTAATTGTTCTACAACAAGGTGGTTTCATTAATTAATCAAATGTGGCTTTTTATCTCAGGTGGAGGTTTTTCCTCTGCTGTTTTTTTCCCCCTTCATTCATCCCTCCGACTCAGCCACCTAGATGTGATATTTATGCCTTTGAGTCACACTGTGCAGCGAGAATTTCAGCCAATAACAGAACCCACCTGCAGTGAAGATGAATATGTAAATTTGAAAAGTGGGTCAGAGATCAAATTTCATCAGGTGAAATCAGTTCTGAAATATCCTTTTCGCCAAGCAGGGTTTTTCTGCCAATCTGATTCCTGCATGACCTTCTGGATGACAGCCCTCTTTCAGGTTGAGCTCTTAAAAGTATTCAGTCAACAATCATAAACCGTGGAGGTATAAGACAAGAGGCAGAAGAAGGGCAGTCATTTAATTAATGCTGTGTGTTCGCAGTAGTTTTTGAGCATTAGAGGAATTCAAGCAGAGGTGACATGAACTGTGCTTAACATTAGCGGCAAAATGACAATGCCTCAAACCCTCTGTGTCCAACTCATCATATCATAGGAAGCCAAATGGCAGGCTGAGTGTTATAGAAGGCCTGCTGTTATTAAAACTCCAAACATGCGAGAGCTTAATTTCGCTTTCATTACTTTGCTTTGCTTATTTTAATTAGTGGCCTTAATCTGCAATTAGCCTAGAGGTCAACTATACTCTTAGACAAAGTAAATAAATAACAGTGCAGTTGTTTTGAAGGCAGAGAGAAAATGTTTGGACATGTGTTTAATTAAACTGTTAACCCATGAAATGTCAGTGTCACTCACTCCTGTGCTGTTTTATTAGAATTAGATCCAAGAGAAACAGTGCATACACGACTGATTGATGTCTACGACTTAATTTAATTTAACTGCTCTGAATAAGAAGGACAGTCAGAGGATCACGCTTTTTCTATTAAATGGAGACAATGCACAACTTAATAGCCTCTTATAACACTAAACAACATCAAATACATTTAAATATATAATTGAAAAAGCTAACAGAATCTTGTGTTCTCCAAACAGTTCAGTAAATGGTTTTTATGTAAAGGGAAAAAAGCAGATACTATTTTCACTGTCAGTGTTACGTACTTGCAGAAATTACACCTAAAATAATCCTCAGGGCGCTTTTTAAGACCCTTTCACTGGTCTATTTGCAAAACAATGTTTTAAGGTTTTTGTTTGGATACATTTATGCTAAATTTTAAGTTGTCTGTTTTATGAGGTGTTCTGTGTCATTAGGGATTCAGAGTTAATATGAATGTAAAACTTCAATTAAAAGTGTGTGCTTTTATTGACTTCTGTCTATAAAATGAGCCTGCCTTTATCTGGGACAGGCATCAATACGAGACAGGTCAATAATTATATTCAAACAAAAGTGGTGCACAGCAAAGACACTAAAGACTATACAATTGTAAACTTGCACCAGAAAGAATATTTAACTTAACTAAAATTAGGATATTTATAAACAAATGACATATCAAATAACTTATTTGATCTTACTTTGTACGACATCCTGCTGCACAGCTGGTAATCATACTCGCACTATTTTGTCTTGTATGGACAGATGTTGAAGTTCATCTTATGTTTTTGTATCTTGCTGCTTTTACTTTTGATCTGCAAATGAATCAACTCTAAATATGCATCGCAGTCTCTAATCTTCGTCGCAGACTTGCCTTTTTCGGTCGAAACGTGCAGCAACACCAGGCTTGATAGAAGGGACTGGGCCTTGGGATGGGTTTTTATATGAAGTTTTACATTTAAATAAAATTGATATAATCAATCAAAAAGCACTCAAACATGGACTATTTTATTATAGTCAATAACCTTTCCTATAGTTTCTTGACTATAAGGACGTTTGTACAACTTAATTAAACTTACAAATAATATTAGCCATAACTCTTGACAATAAAAAAAACTAGTTGTGTAAAGCTAACCAAAATATTTGAATATGCTTTGACTAAGTTTTTATTTGTAATGTGAAAACAAAATCACGTAAAAAGTTCTTTTATTTTCAACTTGCACACATGCAGTAGGCTTGTTTTGTTGTTAATTAACTTGTCAGCTCTTTAAGTGTATGAAGTCTATTTAAAGTCACATTTTATCTTGTTGACTGACAAACTAAAACCAAAACTGGCAGGATCTCCCAAGAGAAGCTTTACAAAGTTGAGTGCCTAATTTTTTTTTAAGCAGAGCACAACAGCTGCATGAACATGTGCCCATGCCGTGTAATATTCTTAATATAGTTAATTTCTTGCTTCTTGCTGTGTAATTATCCTCTCTTGTTTAAGCTCCAGTGTCAGCGAACGTCTTTATCTTAATTCAGAGTATGGCATACCGAGTCCTCATCAATACCCCCCCAGTGCTCCCTGGAGCTGGGTGAATATAGCTTGATGGGTGACAGTGGAGCATGAATGAAACAGTACATTGGGATATGATCCAAATGCTCCCCTTTCTTCCTTCACACAGAGAGAACTGCACCAGGGTGGAGAGGAAGCAGTGAAGAGTGGCCACCAGCTGGCTCAGGCTCAGCCTTCTGAGGCCATACCAGCCGCTCCAAAGGACAACATTAATTCTATTTTTTGTTGTAAATGAGCATGTGATAAGAGTTTCCATGTAGAAAGAAGAGGGACATGACTTCCATGAATACAAAGAAATACAAAATGTTTGAAGGGCTTAAATGCTGACTAGTCAACGCTACATGACAGCAGATACTGAGGTTATCTTACTTACTGTAAAACATCTACCTTTCACTGCTATTGGAAGGTGTCAACAACTAAAGCAGCTCTGTGGGTGCTTTTATGTCAGCGACGTGTATTGTTTATGCAGGTCTCATAGCCGCATAGCATTTTGAATGCTAAACAGCTGCAATAAAACACAGGACCCTTCATGTGTGAGGTGCCTGTGAGGCCAGAAAAGTGTGACTCCGAGGAGCTACATGTTGGCCATAGCTCAAACCGGGTGTCAGAAACTTTGAAATATTAATGAATTAATAGGGAGGGAGCTGCGAGATTTACACTTTGTGGAGACACAGCCTGCCCCATCAGCTCGGCTCAACTAATTACTGCAGACAGATTTTGAATAAAGACTTGTCACAAAGGCATGGCTTATGTGTCACAGAACGGCTGCAAGAGAAATGACAAGTCAGCTGCAGCTACCTTTCAACACTGTCTGAGAAAAACATATGCACCATTTCCATCTTTGATGACAAGAATTTCAGATAAATAATAACATGACTACATGCTTCTTAATGGGTATTTATATTTCAGCTAACCTGCGTTTCAGAATATCTTTTTGAAAAGCCATTGGAGTTATTGTCAAATAACCTTTAACAGGCGGTTTTCTTGCTTACTGAAAAGAAACACTTTAGAGATAATGGTTTTCAATGGATATTGACTCAATTACAGCCTCAGTCTAGTGTACTCATTCAGAGTCCTGCTGCGGCTTTGATACAAGCATCCTGTAAATTGTCTATACTTTATTCTTTATAATCCATAGCTTTTCCGAGAAATGCTTGTTGTGCATTGCAATAAGGTTGAGTGCGATACAGAAACTCAATTTTCACTCCAGAAAGCAGAAGTAATGAGCAAAAAAATATATATTTATCTCCATTACATAAGAGGCCGTTTTCTATTTTTGAAGTGAAGCAAGTGAACCTCAGCTTTACTTACAGGATTATGTAAAATAAGAGAGAAGATTTTATACACCAATTTAAAACATTATTAAGGGAGTGTATAGAGCTATCTGAACTTTCCTCCGCTGCGGTGCACGTCAATAATAAAGGATGAGTAAAGGGTCAATTGCAAGAAGAGTCCTGTTGGCCTCAGATAACTGAGGACTGGGTGAATTCTGCCTTTACACTTGACCAACTACAGCACCCACAGTATTGGATCAGTGCTCAAACTGTGGTGACTTTGTGAGACAGCAAAGGAAAGTCCTCTAAATCAATCCTCTCTGTGCGGACACTAAACCCCTCACCCCTGCTGTGACGCTTTAAAATGCAGCGTCTGACCATGACAGGCCTTATAAATCATTGTGAATAACTTCTTTGTTCTGTAACATAAAGACATAGCAAGTTGTCAAAGCACTTTTCATTCTTAAAACCCGTGTCCCGGCAGAGCTATAAAAAGCTGGCCTCCAAAACTCCACTCAGACCCAGCTCATTAGAGTCAGACATTACACAGGAATAATGGCCACCGGATTTTTTTTTTTTTACTAAATACTGAAGCCAGAATGAAAGTCGTCTTAACACAGGAAGGTGGAAATGCAGTTTAAGCATTATTGGATTCAAATTTGTGTTTGGAATAAAATAACTCTTAACACTTGAATTAGAAAACTTTTATGATTAGCTCGCAGCACATGACTCAGTAAACTGGGCCAGGAAGAGCCTTTTTTCTTTCACTTTCTCCCCTCCTGTCTCTGTGGCGGACTGCCCGATAAGCTTTGCCAACAGTGAGATTTAGCACAGGGCATCTATGCAGAAACCTCCATGAATAACATCGAAATAAAAAGAGCACTTTAAGAAAGACTAGGAAATGGCAATAATTGTCAAGAAGCCATTCCAGCTCGTAGTTACGACTGTCGCTTTCCATGTGACCACCACGGCTAAAGCCCGGTATCATTCATTAATGCCCAGGCCTCTCATTACTGCCTCCTCACACTTTTGAAAGACTCATTACCTGCATAATGGAATAGTGCTTTGAACAGTCAGACCTTTCCTTAGTGTGAATTAATCACCTACATGTTCAGACAAAAAGGGAATTCTCACATTAAATATTTAAAAAAACTTCAAGCTTTATCTTTATACTTTCTTTAACTTCTTAAAGGTGTACTTTCTGGAGGTGAACCATCAGGGACGTGACACCGGTATCATTGAAAGCTGCCCCCGGTATCTTTCATGCCTTCTGCGAGTGCCAGTGGAGGCAAGGAAGAAGAAAGAGATATACTTACAGTTGACTGTGACTTTTACTGTTTTGGAGTCAGGAGAGGCGATGTCATTTAAAGCGCTGCATTCGTAGTCTCCAGCCTGGTCCCTGGTGATGCCGGTGATGTTAAGATATTCACCAGTGTCATACTTCCTGGCTGGAAAGAGAAAAATGGAGGCAAAGTTCTTACAAACAAAGAATACAAACACAGCATTGAAACACACACAAATACTAAGGTATAGCTCTTGGCTTCCTGCAGTCTATGGTAAGTGTGTGGAAAGGCCTCAATTTGTAAACAGCTCTCAAGTTTGAGCCCGAGTAGAAGATGCAATACAATTAGGCTTTGTACTGAACTCCTGATTACCTTCCTTGCATTCTAAAATAGAATCAGATTAGCCGTGCATTGATCTGTTCGTATTGATACGGTGGCAGGAAATGAAATAATTGTGTATTCCCAGTCATCCACTCATCATTTGCTCAACTCCACACCATGCAGTGAGAGCTACTTCCAGGAAGAAAGACAAATTTGATGGCTGAATGCACATGTCAGTGCTTTGTAGTTAGCTAACGGTGCCAAAGGCAGCGGCAAGTGAAGCACCATGACTGGCATGAAAGCAGGGGCGTAGTGCAAAAAAAAAAAAAAAAAAAGCTTGAGGGAGCACAAATCTACACACACATGTCCACTCCAATCAACAAAGCAACAATAACATACAGTATATTACAATAGTTACAGGGGACAGATGATGGATTTTTGTGTGTGTGAAAGTGTTGCTAGAAAGAATTGAAAGTATGACTGCTGGAATCAAAAGCAATAAAGAGATTGTGTATGGTGTCAAGTTGAATTCATTGAGAAGAATCAGGAAAAATAAAGACATGTCAGTGAATGGAACTACGGGGAAGAAAAGTATTCCCAATTATTTTATATCGAACAGAAGCAAGTTGACAAACTAACACATCAGCGATAATGCCTTGTAGGATGGCTTTGATATTTGTCACAATCAAAAACTAGCAGGGTCTAAGCCTGTGTACATAACTGATTACATTTTATTATATTGGAGCAGTAAAAATCAATTGAGCTGTCGATTTCCAGGAAAATCTATCAAATAAAGTCTGTATCTTTCAAATTGTGGGATCTTTCAAGTAAATTATCAAATTAATGCATATGTTTCGGTGTCATATATAGAAGGCTTACTATATATCCTCTTGTTCTTATGAAACAAGCTACGTGATAACGTGAATAAATCAATTTGGACAAAGAAAGACATATTTTACACATGTTGTCACACTCAAAGACAAAAAAAATATCTAGAATTCCGTAGTTGAAATGCTTGTACGTTGCAGCCCTACTTTACATAATTTAAAGATGACAATTCAAACCATCGAGGAATAAGTTGCATTTGCCTCTATGTTAGAATGATCGGTAACACTTTACAAAACTGTTGCCCTGAAAAGCATGTATTCATGGTGAATTAATGCGCACATTGTCATGATTTAAAGAATGACTCATGAGGAAGTAATTTATACATTAATCAGCAACTATATGATTAACATAGAATACATAAATAGCTAGCAGTAATGTCTGCATTCATTGATTCATTCATCTATTACTTAAGTTATTGATTAATACTTTTAATTCATGTGTTAATTAACACAATGAGCCAAAGTCATGGGTGTCAACTTGGGTGCCATCATACATTAATTTAGGATTACCTGGACTTTATTTCACCATTAATAAATGCTTATCAGGGGAACAGCATAGAATGTACATTTTAATAGATGCAGCCTGAGTGACGTCACCCATCTGTAACTGCAAGGGGGTTCAGGAGGCTCATCAGCCTAACTTTCAGTCAACCTAACGACAGACTGAGAGCTGGAACTAAGGCGGGTTTTAAGCCTTATGACAAACCGCTAGACCGCGCCTGCCTCTCAATCAGGTCAGCCTCGTGCCTATATATGGATAACTTCTATTTTTCATGAAATCAAAACGGATGCGTTATTGAAAAATTCACCCCCTGTACAGTGTGTACCCATTAGGACAATCAGACCTATATCGTGTACCAGGCTGTAAACAGGTTTTTTTCTGAGGTAAAAACGACAGAACTGCTGTTAAAAAAAGTTTTGAATGGGGTTGCTAAGAGACTTCCAGGAGTCAGGCTTCATTTTTTTTTAACACGGGAGGATACCGCTTGGGGACCAGCATTGTAAAGTGTAAGCAAATTCTCTTCAGGTTTTTGTGACAGTCATTAAACCACCTGCAGACGTTCAGAAACATTTGGTGTGGTGGAATTTATGAACTACTTAGATTGATGAACAAACATCATTTGGTTTGTTCTCTGTTCCTGATGTCAGTCAGACCTGATAGTGTTCAGCTGTGACTAGATGACCAAGGACAGCTAAGTGTGCCAACTGTCTTTCCTCATATCTGCAAGGATGTTTGGTAGACTTATTGTCTGCTCCAAATTGTACTAGATGTCACAGGTTAGTTTACGTGGGTCAATATGACATGACCCTGATATTAATAATATCTCTTGGGATATAGACAAAGCCATTGGGAGAGTCCTGCAGATTTGGTTTAGCAAGACACAAGTTCACATGTGAATTGTTGATCCATGTCTCCTTGAGTATTCATCTTGTACTTAAATTTTCTTCAACTTAAGTCAACTGAATCATTATTGTGTGAAGTCAAGTACTAATCATTTCCTCATCATTTGGTATCTATAACATAACATTGCAATGTTAATAATAATAACTTATTTGCGGGGTTGTAAAGATGGATGGATAGATAGATATTACATTAGGAAAGCTAACAATGCAACAATACTGCAGATTTTAGCCTGACCAAAATAATTTCCAACACAGCGGTGTTCACTGTGAAATGTATTTATATACTGCTTTTTATAAGGGGAACAGGGGATTTGGATGGAAGTGCGGATGCTTTTGAGATGCATAGGGTTCAAACTGAGTGCACAATCAAGCAATACCGAGCTCAACATACTGTTCAGAGAGCCGCAGAGACCTGACACTGACTCAGCAATATCTTACAAAAAGGGAAGCCAAAAATCAAGACAATTCCTTTTTTCAGGAGAAGAAATACTGCCATTCTGTGCTGCCAATCTCAACTGCAAGTGTGCTGAATGCTTATAAAAATGCCTCTTCCCTCTCCTGCAACTCGGGTGGCTTTTTATCTGCGAGCTACGGCGTCAAAAAACTTGAAACTGAAGGCAATGTCGATAATGAGCTTTCCTGTCTCCTCAAACTGTTATGGTGGCAACAATGGGGTCCGAGAGGCTTGGCAAAGATGTATTGGTGGCAAAGGAAAGACAAAATGTTTGGAAAACAGATCCATGGACAAGCACTGGATGTGTCTGAAAACCTGAACTGTTAATATGCCAAGAGAGCACAGGGACGGAGAGATGACACAAAGGGCTCTATTTTTGTGGTGGTGCATGGCTTCGCACCCAAAGAAGAAGCACTTTTGTAACTGGGTGAACACAGTTTTTTTTTTTTTTTTTTTTACTTAATCCTACTGATGTGGGAGGGGATGTGCAGCACAGAGTGTGTCAGTGAAGCAATCAAATGGTGCAGACAGTGTAAGTGTGTTGTCAAAAATAACAGGGATTTATGCACAGTAGGTTTATGTTGTGCAATCTAAAGTCTTTCACAAACCTGCAACTCTATGTTTCCCAAAGTGATGTAAACACACCAACCTAGCTTTTTGTCAGTGGTAACCTGGAAAATTTGACTTTGATATAAAGCTTTGGAAGTGAAAAAGAAGTGACAAAGCTTTACAATGACAGACACAGCATGGTGCTGTCAAAATCAGCTGCAATCTTAGAGATCTCCACAGGGAACATGCATAAATCTGTCATCTATCAAGTGCAACAGAGTGTTTTGCGCTAAATTGAATATGAAATAGATGATTAGATTTAATATATAATGTTTTGGTTTATGTGAATTGTACTTGATAGAGCTATAACATACCTAGAATTACAGTTAGGACCACTGCAGAGGTATTGGATATTATCTGTTTGATTCAGTAGGTCTGCTGCTTTGTCAGTCAGCATCTCTACTTCTAATGAAATACATTTAATCTCCCCAAAATACTGAGAGGAATAACAGCGGAATTAGTTTTTCAAAGAAGAATGGACAGAGAAGTATGTGTTTATCTTATCAGCCAGCTGTCTCTCTTGTAACAATGCTGCTCAGAAATGAATACTGTGAGGAAATAATGTGATCACAATGTCGCTTGTGTTTACTAGAATGAAATCTCTTTTGGTGTAATAAAACAGTGTTATTAAATGTGTGTTTAAGGATACAAATTCCGTTTTGTTCAATACAACTTGTTTAAATTATCGTGTGTTTTTCAACTGTAGATTAGACTTCGTTTTAATAGCAAGTTTTTTTCATATTGAGATCTATTAAAGAAGAGAGAAAGGGATAAGAGTGGGGAACAGCATTGTTATTGCTAATTAATCTCATTTACATCGATATTATTCAGTACATATCTGAACCATATTGGAAGGTAATTATGTCAGCAAATAGAGGAAATATATAGATCACACGGGGGGAGGGCAAATGATTTGGTCAGTTTTTTTTTACCACTAGTCTGCAGTATGTCTCTTTAATTAAGAAAATCAATCATAATATGGTCATAAAAGATGTCAGCCACACTACACTTACATATTCCCTTACCTTTCAAACTATTTTTTAGGTTTATTTTGCAACTACAGCAACAAAAAACCAACAGTCAGTGTCTTGGCCATGCTCATCTGTGCACGGAGGGATGGCAGCGCATCCATGTCTGGTTCCTGGTATCTCTTTTCCAATGACTCTGCACTGTTCATGAGAGAGCTGAAATTAGATATATCCATTTTAATGCATGTCAACATATTGCAAACAAAGCTTTTATGGTTGTATATTGAACATAGGTGGTTCCACTGTGTCTACCTTGTTTACAGGATGATCAATGCTACCAGTCATAGATCTTAAGCAGCAGTTTCTGCATGTCTGTAGTCTTTATGACGTCTGCTCTGGAAAGTTTGTTTTTATGTCAGTGAATAAGTGATGTATTATAAAGTAACTAGAGTCTTCAGAATGACCTCAGCTCCCTGTATAGATTTTCTTGACACACACAAAGTAGCAACCTAACATGGTTGA